CCCCCCCCCCCCCCCCTTCCCATTTAGTACAACGCCACAAGCACATATCTCAAAAGTGGGCTTGAAGCTTGTCACCAATTAGATGCCAACGGCAGGTCTCGCAAGAAAAACGTCGATTCTCGGTTCCCATGTTTCGAAAGCTGCCCGCTCAGCAAGAAGTGTGGATGCAGACGATTGTCTTCAGTCGGTTCGACCAACAGCTACCCTCACAGTACGATTAATAAGTTCTGTAACTATGAAAGTGGTACCAGTATGGTGCAAGGTCTACGAGCGGGGCGATGCAGGGCAAAAGCCATTTCTTCTCAATACCTTGTGCTGGGACATGATGAATTCACCCGACTTCCGCAGCAGTCACTGGTGCAGCCACGACAGTAGTGGTGACAGGTAGGCTGCAACTTGATGTCCAGCTCCTGCAACCCGTCCTTGCCTCTTATTTCGTCGAGTCTATGGATAGTCGCTCAGCTCCTCCAGGTGTAATGAATGGCATTTGCAGTCCTTGTTGCAGTTGAACGAACACCCGCCCCGGTTGACTTGGATGTAGAGGAAGGTGGAAGAGAGACCCACCAGTCGTGTCGGGAAAAAGCAAGTGGGGGTGTCAAGCACTAGACCGTGGGCATGTATTCAAGTCCCCACAAGAAGGGAATATGCAAATCATTGAGCAATCCGAAGGAATTCGAAGAGCCAAGACCAATACTGTTGAACGACGATGCGTAACGACAACGGAATACGTTCGCACCCTGATATGGAATGATACCTGCCTTCTCTCTCGGTGCGAAGGATACTCGATCAAATGAGCTAGTGGATGCAAAGTTTAAGAATCATCTCAGCATTCAGATGCCTGACTACTGCTAACCCTCCACACCCTCAGCGTGTATGTGGCATCCTTGACGACGTTTGTCGCGCGATCTGAGAAAACTGCAACACCAGGAAGGAATGTGTGCAACCGACGACGAAGGGGAGAAACGCAAAATGAGCGCCAAAAACAGCAATTCCGGGTTAGCATCGTACCATAGACCTTGCTCAGACCTCACAACCGTGTCCCTACTTCTCGCGACCATTGTGCAATCCAATGTGGAACCATGTACCCACGTTCAGCCTTCACCTGACCGTCTCGCTGAAGCAGTTGACAAAGGACTGCCACGCAGCAGTTTGGCTGTGTCTGCCGCGCTGCCGCTGCAACCATGACATGCCATGCGGAGATTCTGGTCTTCCGCACGCCCGCCCCCCCGTAATCACAGCTTGGTTGTGGGGCCCCCTCGTGCCGCTCTCTCTGCAGTCCTACTCTCACGTCGTCGTATATGTAGCGTTGTTGCTGCGTAATCTCATTGACACGCATACCAAATACAGCAGTGATACAACTCGCCCGCGTAGTAGGGTGCTGTCGTAACACAATCGAGAACAATACAAAAAGATCGCATAACTTCATGTGTGTGTGCAACGCTTGTATTGTGTGTAACCGCTTCTTCCACAGCAGCAGGACATGCACTTCCTGACATCAATTGAAGGCCAGGGCGCAGCGTTTAAGGGCTCCACGCGCGATCTATATGCCCATAGTATAGCAAGGGTGTTCTATGCGCCAGAAGATGCTAGGAAAACCGGGATTGCATCGATGTATCGGATGTCATCTGCCTGGGAGAAGTGAGAAAGACGTGAAAAACTTGGGCCGGGTGTTCCGTGCGCTGGCTTTCTTTGTTTCTCGCGGTAGAGACGACGAACTGCTCGATTCCTTCAGAGAGACGGCGAACAGCTCGATACCTTCGTTCGGGCTTCAGGGAACGCTGTTGCGCGTACAGTACACGCAAAGGAGACTGTTTCAACCGTTATCGTCCTTACTTGGGCCGCGCACCCATACAACATACGAGAAATACATGTAGTACGAGAGACTCTTCTTCCACAAAGGGAAGACGAACAAAGAGCGGTATGCAGCCGACTTGATGCAGCGGCAGATATCCGTACCCCGCTCTAAAACTGGTCATATCAGGCGAGGTAGCTCACGCGAACGCATGGACTGACTGCCCTGGTGGGCCGGCACCCTGCGGACCCATATCTGCAGCTACACAGCAGTACCCTGCAGGATGGTTCCACAACAACAACAGCACGCCGCTTGGTACAACAACAAGCTGGCACAACCTCATCACCAAGGTGAGTGGGCCGTGCGGATACTCGCTTGAGCACTATTATAGAGTGTGTGGGGGGTGACGCTTTCTTCGTGAAGCCTTATATTTTATGTTTTCCGCACTGACTGCTGTTGTCAGGGAAGGTTGGCCTCTCCGTGGTTTAGTTTGATTTTTTTGTAGGAGAGCCGGGAGAGCGGAACCACAACAAGTACTCCGTACTTTATGCTTGGATACTTGGAAGCAGTAAGTACGAAATCGCCAGGCAAAGTCTCGCCGCCCCGATGTTCTGGTATACACGCAAGCGTCGTCTCGTTATCCACTATTGTTTATTCGCTCTTCTGGGCAACTCCTCTTCATTTGGGCATCATTCGTCCGAACGCAACCCGTAACGTCTGCGTATGGACGGCGTAGAGATAGAGAGAGACAACAGCAACAACAACAAGAGATGTATGTATCTCGGCGCGGCGGGGTTTCAACGGTTCTTGTCATCAAGGGTCTCTGACTCGGGACGAGCGCCGGTTTGCCCCGTGATGAAATAACATTCAGTGTTGAGCATTGCAGCCGAGAACAACAGGGAGATGGTGCTCTAGCTAGCATGGGGTAGTCTAGAGGCCTTGTTTCAGTTTCTAGCGCAGCAGTTAGCCCCACGGCCAACTCAAAGGTTCTGCCGATGCCCTGAGTCGTTTCGTGTGGAGTATACCTTTGCTTCCGGACAAAACTGTACGTAGGTTTTGGTGGCGACCATCTAGACTACCTCCTGTAACAACCGCCAAAAGGCGCCATACGAGAAAACCATCTTCCATTCTCCTACCGGCCACTGTTGGAGTTCTCGGACTCTTGAAAAGCGCTACGAAATTCTTCCAGAACGTTCACGGCTAGCTGGTTACATTGCTTGTAAGCACGTGCTGTGTGTATCAAGACTTATATCTCATGATTTGAACAACACGTAGTGCTTCCAGAGGTTGCTCATGTTACAATGTTTGTACATGAAACCACCCTGCTCGATAGTGAACCATCGAACAGTCTTGCGGTTTGGCAGCATTCCAACACCCCCCACTTTTGACCTTCGTGTTTTCGAACTGGAAACAGAACGGGGGGGGGCGGGGAGGGGGCGAAGTCAAGAACCTGTTTCAGCCCCAAACGCTAGAAATTTTTCATAGCCATCAATACCTCGTCGTCTTCCACACAAACCCAAGCAAGTTGGAAGAATCACACCCCGAGAGACAGCCAGAAATCCCATCAATATCTCACAAAAACAATCCTCGCTGCACGTGTTTTCCAACGTTCTTGCGTGAAGTGCTTTGTTTTGCTGTGAGGAACAACATTTGGGTGAAGAGTCAATAGGCCATGATGCACGCCAGCATTAGCACAACATGCGGCTTCCTGGTGGCGATGTTCTCGGGCGCTCGGGGGCAATCAGATTGGTCCCTCGTTGCACCCAGGTCAAACACGTTGCCGAAGGAGGAGCCGCCTGCTTCTTTCGACCGTAGGGAGAACATCATCTCGCCCTTGGGCGTGTCGAACAGCCTGGACGCTCGGCCGGCTTTGTTGCACACCAACAAGTTCTACTCTAACCTTTTGGTGAGTTCTCTGTTCCTAGGCAGTGTACTGAGATGATTTCCACCGTGTGTGCAAGAAACGCAAACGAGGTAGTGAGCCGGAGCTATTTTCTTTCAAAAAAACGGGTGTCCAGTTGGCTGTTGCCCGCGTGCCTCAAACCGAAGTTCAGCCACCTCCTATTTTGTCAAGGTGTCCACAAACTGCGCCGCCGATCCACGCAGATACAGCGCAGAAAATCTGCGGAGGTGCAAGCAGTCTTCCTGGCGAGCATCCTCGCCAATGCCTGAAGTGCCCCACGTTAATCCCTACAACAATTGAGTCCCTAAATGTGGCAAAAGCGCGCATCAATAACATCTGCCGCTGGCAACAACAATCTAACCCACGGTGGCAAGGTATCTTCCCGATGTTTCCAACGTTCAGGCAATCTATGCAACATCATTTAAACGGACGCTGACCGCGGCCAGTATTGCATCAATTCTCGACTTCCTCTGCATTCCATGTCTCGTTAGTGTCACACATGAAGGCACGTGGGCATCACACTTGCATGGGAAGCAAGCAACAACAGGCACCCTCTCCCCCCCGTCGTCCCTCTACCCGACCCGCATTGCGCAACTACTTAGCTTGACACTTCGTCACGAGCGGCGTGGACACTACCGTACATATTGACCATTAACGAAGAGTATCCCTTTGGGCTGTACGTGAGTTATCCGAGGTTCTTCGAAGGGGAAAGGCAGGATGATCGGCTCAAGTGGTACGCAACCACAACAGGCAAGGATATCATCTTGAGTGCCCAGGTATGTACCTGCTCTTATTTAGGGTGGTCGTGGTCTTACTGGGTTTTTGTCCCGACGAGGACTCCGGAGTCCCTTGAATAATTTATTTAAAACTCTAAACCTAGAGATCTCGGTTTTTCGACGCAACATCCTTGAGGACCTGAGGATTCGTAGGCTGAGTCCCTGAGTGCACCCCATGTTTGCCTGCTGGCAAAACGCGCTGTACACAGCCCATGGGCGCGCCCTCAAGAGTGCATAGTTCGTGCCCATGAGGCCTTCCAAGGATTTCGTCGCCGATGTGAACAGCTTTCTACGATTACGTGCGAGCGATGGGGCGTGACGGAGGATTGGAGCGAGCAGGGGGCAGCATTTGATTCGAACCAGCTGATCCCTCACCCAGGTTGCTCTGTGTGGCTTGCATTCGTACAGTCCAGCCCACCTTCAGTTAACGTCATTGAAATTAAGCTGCTCGATATCACACATGCACTTGTTGCTTGCCAATCTGTCGACTTTGTCTTTCGACGCAGGAGCTGCGCACGAATCAAGAAGCGAAATTAACGGATTTCGATGACGAAGGGTTCTCCGCTACGGTCAAATTTACCTCCCAAGACACAGCGGGCGGAAGTATGACCACGTACCTCGTTCGCGGAATGGTGAGCAAGTGTATCAGAGGTGTCTGCCATGTACGATCGTTCCACTTACTTTCTGCGATGAGTTTTGTTTGTCCATTTCCAATCCGGGACCGCTGCTCTGGAATATATGCAGAAGCCTAACCTACAATGTATTTCTCTTATTTTCTGGTGTACAGCTCCGATCCAGAGTCGTACAGAAGGACTCCTCCCCTTCTGACCCCCATCGTGTCGGCGATGCCCTTCAACCATCCCGGCGACAGAGCAGGAGTTGTTTTCCCTCCGAACTACTCACGAACTACTGTTGATATGGCACCTTGTGCGGAATAACATAGGTCAGAAACATACCCGGGCACTCGGTCAATCCTATGGCTTAGGTGGCATCTCCATCGCGAAAATGACCGTGTTTCTGGACCCTTTTTTCGACTCTCCAATGGGGTTTGAAAGGTCATGATGGCCACCGGTCGAAAAGCGACTGCTTTTGTGTAATTTTCTAGTGATCAAAACTGACCTGGATATAGTACATTGTAAATTGGCACGAGTCTGGCGCCTTGCCCTTTTGCAGGACGTATGGTTGTCCCAGTTCACATACCGTGACTAAGCTGGTCGACTGACCTTGGCACCCCCAAAGTGGTGTCATTCGAACACGTCCAGGCATGATGACGGCACAGTAGTCATGAGGGGTCGGGAGAGAACCTTAGTCTCCATAGAACAGCGCGGAAATGGTACTTCATGCACACCGCACATTCGAGTGGGGCCGTTAGGTGCTCGAGACTTCGCCTCAAGTGCACCGAGACGTTTACGCTCGCTTCGGTCTTCGATCGTCCTGGCACCTTTGAGCGGCTTTCCGCGCTACTTCTTTCTATACGCTTTTAAACAGGGCTGCAGTTGGTTTCCGTACGCAACCAACCTCCTCTCCCGGTGCGCTTCCTCCCTCTTGATCTGATTCGCAGGCATACGCAACCGTCCTGTATGAAGACTTTACTCCAGAGGTGGCGACGCAACATGCCATCCTCCGAGTCAACGGCAACGTGAGACCTGCTTGTGTTCTCCGCCTTCGCGTGTAGTGCCGTGCGTGGT